GGCCTGTTCTGCATACTTCCCGACACTCTTCTTTCTCCCACAGAGAGAGAGAGGACCAGCACCTGGCGGAGACAGCGGCGTTCCTGCACAGGGACTCAGCGCTGACAGCCGCCATGTGCGACAGGGAGCAGGAGGGCCCTGATGGCAGGGAGCCAGGTGAGGGCAAAGCAGCCCTCCCACAGCCTGGCCCACGGCCTGTTGGCGTGGCCAGCGTGGGACCCAGAGCAGAGGCTCGGGGGAGGCAGGAGCTATTCAGCCAGGCCGGGGCTGGAAGCCTTCTTCCTCCCCAAGTGGGGCCCAGCTGGGACAGGGGGCAGCTGTTGGGACCCCCGTGCCCGCAATGGCCGCTGCTCTCCAAGACCTCCAGGCCTGCCCATCAGCCAGGCAGGCAGGCAGGGACAGAGCAGTCCTTGGGGCCGATGCTGCAGGCTGAGGTGCTCATGCCCGCTGCCATTGGCTCTGTCCCCTGCAGCATGCGTGCTGTGTCACCAAGCAGAAGCCGACCTCTGTGCTTCCCCAGGCACTGGCAAGTGCCCCTGTGCTGCTCCTGCGCTGCCCAGGGCCCCCACGGGTGTTACTCGTGCCTTACAGCAACCAGAACCAGCGGGGAGTGTGACAGCTCTGCTGCTCTGGGCACGGCTGTCAGGGCAAGCCCCCTGGGCAGGGGGCAGTGTCCAGGTTGGGCTTGGCAGAGCCCGTAGGCTCCTGGAGGGCTGGGGGGCACTGCTCCAGGATGGCCTGGCCCAGGCCTGGGAGGCCTTTGACATTCCTGTTTGGCCTCACAGCCTCCAGGACTGAGCCGGAGCTTAATGGCCCCAGCCTGACCGGACAGTCAGGACTGGAGCCTTCCTGTGGCTCCCCAGAACCTGAGACCATCAGCATCAGCTCGGAAACACTGCCTAACAGGGTTTGCCAATATTTTTTCCTGTTAGATCTTTGAAGGGATTTAAACGGTAAGGTTGTTTGGCAGCTTCTTCAAGGAACAAATAAGACGAGTTTATTTTCAAGAAAAGGTTTATTAGTTTGGGTTCAGTTTCCGTATGGAATTCTTATGCTTCCTTAGACGATCCAGAAATTAATGAAAATCTAACATATTCCTAGGAGAAGTTTTTGAATCCACTACTCGGAGAAGTCTCTAAATTCACTGTTTCTCTTAAACACTTCCCTTACATATAGTTAGGTATCCGCTCCTGTAACATACAGAGATGCAGTGGTTTACCTGGTTGGACATCACAACATGATGTTACACACACCAGTATAATAACAACCTTTTGTTCCCTGACAGTTACAAAGTTTCAGGCTCTTCTGGAGGTCCTGAATTAATTTTGCATGCACATTCATAGCCGTGTTCCCTCCCATGCTCAGCGTTCAGCCACAGTTACCAGGGAACAGACATTCCATACTCACCTTAAGCAATAATCTACGTCTGTCTTCCCAACCCTCTTTTTCTTCACTATGTTCATGTGGAACAGTATGATCCAAAATGTCTCAGTAATGTCTAATGACTATTTTTTTGCTAAGCTCTAAAGGTTCCTATAGCTATGAGGCAATTATCTGAAAGAAAGGAAAGCCAGAAAGCTGCTCAGCCTTTATTTTTTACCAGGACTGTCTCATGGGATTCTACCACAACTTTGACCGCAAGTAAGGATGGCAAATTTTGACTACAGAGGATTCATAACTGGGCAGCATTTTTTCCTCCTTACTCAAGTCCAGTAAGGGTTTAAAAGGGAAAAATATACAAAAGGGGCTGAAGAAGTTGTGTCGTACCTCTTAGGCGTTCATCATCTATGGAGAGCTCTATTGATCTACAAAATAACTTTGGGCCCTCTGCACAAAACAAAACACAACACCAATCAATAGGGTTCAGCACTTCTGATTCTGCTGCTGCTTCCAAAAGTCATGAATGAACAACACAACAATAAAGACAGAAGCTCTATTCTTCACATCCTTCCTATTCTCTTGCCCCCCACCACATGTCGGCTCCAACAGAAATATTTCCTACTGCAGCCTGGTGTACTAAGAAAAATGAAAGGCAGCAGCTGTCTCCCTGAACATGCTGAAATCTAAATTGCAGTGAAACAGCAGCTGTTTCATTAAATGCTCAGCAGCAGGATCCCACAGCTCCCCCCAGAAGTGCTGCCTGCCAAGGGCTGAGATCTCCATTTTAACACACCCTGAAAATCTGACAGGCTGGAAGATTGCAGGGCAGTAACGGTATGAACACAGCCATACATTTCATCAGGGTTATCTAACAAGTCTCAAGAAACGAATGTCATTTAAGCCTGTCTTGAGACTATATTCTACAAAATATAGCAAGCAATTGTTTTGGCGGCCTGTGTAATTTTTTGGGGCTTTGTATGTTTTCTTTTGTTGTTTTTGTCTTTGTTTTTAAATAGAAAATTCACTGGGTTCAGAAGAGAAAGCCCCAGATTCATTAGGATCAAGAACCGCACGGACATATGCTGCTGACAAGAACACTCAGCATTCCTAATGATAACACCAGAATGACAGGGAAAAGTTAAAGATGATATACCTACCTGAAAGGATCCAAAATGTCTCAGTAACCTGTCTAATGACTATTTTTTTGCTAAGCTCTAAAGGTTCCTATAGCTATGAGGCAATTATCTGAAAGAAAGGAAAGCCAGAAAGCTGCTCAGCCTTTATTTTTTACCAGGACTGTCTCATGGGATTCTACCACAACTTTGACCACAAGTAAGGATGGCAAATTTTGACTACAGAGGATTCATAACTAGGCAGCATTTTTTCCTCCTTACTCAAGTCCAGTAAGGGTTTAAAAGGGAAAAATATACAAAAGGGGCTGAAGAAGTTGTGTCGTACCTCTTAGGCGTTCATCATCTATGGAGAAGAAAACTAGCACTTTCTGTGCGTGGTAGAGAAAGAAACCTAGATAAGTACAAAGGGGTTTTAGCATCCTAAAAGGTCCAATCAAATCCTATGAGCATGAGTTAGAGTTGTAGTGCTTCAGAGAAATGTTATACACGGAAGAGCTTTACTCCACAGTATGCAAATAAAGCCTTCTACAAAAAAACCCCACTTTTTACACAAAAACTGACTGTGTCTTTGGCTTTTGGCCAAACCCAGTTTGGGGTTGGCCAAACCAAAACAACCCAGTCAATTTCTTGTGCTCAACTTCTCTCTCTTCACATTCAACTTCACATCCAATGGGCATCTGGGACTCTGGACTCTGTGCAGCACCAATGGTTCTCCAAGATGACTTTCATTGCTCAGACAGTGTGCAATGTCAGTTTCCCATTTCCTCAGTGCTGCCATTAATATTCCCACAGCGTCCAACTACTACAGCCAAGTAGACAACAAATACAAATGGAACTTGCCTTTCTTGGTGCTTTTCAATTTCTGACATCTCATTCTCATCAGCACCCTCAGAACTGCTCTCTTGGAAATGTGAATTCTCTTGCCACGTGACTTTTTCCCGTTTTATCACTCCAAGTACGTAAGGCTCTGCAAAATCAGCACCAAAACAGAAAGAAAGCCAAAACCAGATTATTTCTCTACTTGCCAGGAAAAATTCCTTCTTTCAAGTGAAATATTTACACTGGGGAAGACAGATTTAGGAAGGACAGAATCTTCTCCCTAATTTTTTGAGCTGTATCTCTGCTCCAGGATCTTCCACTTTGTTCTAGGCTTCTCCTTTGTGTTCTGAAATATTTATCATTGCATCCAGAAGACAGTGAATAGCTCCTGAATTCAGCACAAGCATGGCGGGCTTGTTGCTTTGTGTTGTTTTTAATATTTTGGATAACTTGGCACAGTTTCCTTTCATTCCTACCTGACTGTGACTTGATTAAATATTCCTTCATCTTCATTTCATAAGGCCTCATTTTATCTGAGGTTAGGACACCCCAATGATCCTTCAGTGTCATTCAGTTTCCTTTTTCTGAAGGTCCAGGAATAGAATTCAGTAACTAACAGGATGTTCATGGACCTTGGGGTCAACTCCAGGATTTTGCTTCTCTCTCTACCTTAACACACATTTTCCTCAAAATCCTGTTGGGCTCTATGTAACTTGATATGACTGCTGTGTCACCTTTTTCCCTGTTTGAGAAGTTTAGGGGATGACAACAAGCTTTTTCACCACTCTGCAAAAATCCCAATACCTTCTTAAAGCGTGCCTCTCAAAATTCCTGAGATGCAAGCATAATCTCCCACAACCTTGGCAAGTAGAAATGAAGATCAAAATGCTTCAGCATAATTACTGACTTCTGCTGCTGAAAATCCTCTGGATTATGACCTTCTTTACGCCATATTGCTCTACAGTGCCTGCCAGAAGCTGTTCCTTAGAAATGGCACTGTTAGGAGGGTTCTGCTGTTACCTTCTTTGATGCCCTACTCCTCTGTGTCTCCAAAGAAGGAAAACTTGAAAGCACTCGACTCCTGAGTTCTGTCGTTTTCAGGCAAAGGTCCCAGACGGTAGTCTGAGGCAGAGTCCTGAGCATCCTCTTTGTCCCAGGGTATTTCCTCTGTCTTTTCTGGTTTGACCTTTGAAGGTCCAAGCAAATCTTTTAAATCAGCAGCAGTGTCGCAATCAATTTCTTCAGACGCTTGAGGCAGTGTCTCACTCTCTTCTTCTTCCTTTTAACTGAAGGAAGGCTCTACTGAAATGAGATTGTCCAAGGACAGCAACACAGCACATGTCTTTTTCATAGACAGCTTCCTTAAGAGCCACCTTGCTCTTCATGTCTCCCTAAATGTATCCAAGCCATTAAGGATTGGTTCACTTTCAAGGGTAAGCAGTGGGGAAATATGTGTCTAAAGGCAGGAATGTGTGTCCCTTCTAATTAGCTACATCCTCAGGTGACTTTTCACTTAACAATACATGGTAACATAGAAATCAAGAATCATAGAAACGTCAAGAGCTAATTTGGGTTTTCCACAGACCTGCAAATCTTGAGGTCCCTGTATTAACCGTTCTCACCTTCACTTACAGCAGCAAACAGAGGGACTAGAAAGAAAAGATGACACTACATGCTGCTGTTAGAGGTCCGAGTTGAGGCCCGATGTGGCTGGTGGGAGCGGTTGTTCCAGCGGGACATCTCCGACCATGTGCCCCTGCGCCTGGGCCTCTCAGCACTTGCTGCTGTCCTCCTGCTCCTGTCCTGGCGACTCCTGGACAGGACAGGTCGATTTGAGGCCTGACGTTGCAGGCGGGAATGTCTGCGTCTGGGGCATGTCCCCGAGGATGTCTCCCTTTGCCTGGGCCTCTCAGCACTTGCTGCTGTCCTCCTGCTCCTGTCCTGGCGACTCCTGGACAGGACAGGTCGATTTGAGGCCTGACGTTGCAGGCGGGAGCGGCTGCGTCTAGGGGCTGCCTGCGATGGTGTCTCCCTTCGACTGGGCCTCCCTGCCCTTGATGTTGTCCTCCTGCTCCTGTCTCGGCGACTCCTCGACCGAGCAGGTGGACTCTGGGCCTGAGCTTCCTGGCGGGAGCGGCTGAGTCTGGGGGCTGCCCTTGATGGTGTCTGCCTTTGCCTGGGCCTCTCTGCCCTTGATGTTGTCCTCCTGCTCTGGTCACAGTGACTCCTTGACCGGACAGGTGGACTTAAGGCCCGAGCTTGACAGCAGGAGCAGCTGCACCTGGGGGAAGCCTGCGAGGGTGTCTCCCTTCGCCTGGGCCTCTCAGCCCTTGGTCTTGTCCTGCTGCTTCTGTCACGGTGACTCCGTGACCGGACGTGTCTATTTGGGGCCCGACTTTGCTGGCGAGAGCGGTTTCGCCTGCGGTCAGGCCCAGCATGCCTGGAATGGACCCTGTCCTCAGGGTCCATGGAGCTGCTGTGTCTTGGCCTTGATGTGCTAGGGCTGCCGGTGTCTGCCAAGGAAGAGGCTGCATGCTGGGGGCTGCTGTGGCTGCTGGTCTCTGGAGACGGAGAACGGGGAGCCAGACCCGATGACACCGGGCTGCTGGAGCTGGGGCTGGTGGCCTCAGATTCTGAGAGGCCCTGAGAAGATTCCAGTCCTGAGTGACTGATCAGGCTGGGGCCATTGAGCTCTGGCTCATCCCTGGAGCCTGTAAGGCCAAACAGGAATGTCAAAGGCCTCCCAGGCCTGGAGCAGGCCATGACAGACCAGAACACTGCCCCCAGCCCTCCAGGAGCCCATGGGCTTTGCCATGCCCAGCCAGGGCACTGGCCCCAGCCCAGGGACACCCGGTTGCTTTGCCTCATACCTGTGCCGAGACCAGCACAGCTGTCACACTCCCAGTGGGTTGTCCTCACTGTTAGGCCAGAGCAGCGCCTGTGGGTGCCCTCAGCAGCACAGGAGGAGCACAGGAGCAGCTCCCAGGGCCTGGGGAAGCAAACGGGTTGATGGCTCTGAAGACAAAGTGTCCCAGAACAGGATTGTCCAGCTGAGCTCTTCTGGCTCCTTCTGCTTTGAGCCCTTCCCGAGACACAGGTTCCCTGCAGAGCCCCGGGTGCAGCTTCCCAACTTACCCCTCTTCCTCTGCCTCCTCCCTGCCTCTTGGGTAAAGGCATTCCCTGACATTGCACCTCCCGTGCCTCTCTCCTAGATCCGCAAAGGCATTGTTGTCCTCCCATGTTGGCTGTCTGATGGAGAAAGGAAAAGCTGATGTGTTTCTGCTGCCCTGCCCTCACAGAGATAACAGGGTGACCCTGCTCTTCATCCAATGCTTTTCCAAGTCCCCTGAGAAGTCCCCTGAAAAGCGGAAGTCCAGACTCCCTGGATGGGACAGGGCCTGGACTGCTGGGGCAGGGCCTGGCACAGCATGACACTTGCACCCTCCTGTCTTCTGAGACACGCAGAAGGACACCAACCTGATGGGGATTCGGATCCCCATGACAAACATTTCCACAAGGAATGTCTCATGATCTCTGCAGAGAGGGCAGCGGAAGTACAAAAGACCAGCACACAAGGCCTGTCCCTGCAGGGCAAACAGAAGCAGTGTGAGCCAGGCCCTGGTGCTGCTGAGCACCTGCTGTGTCCCAGGTCTGAGGGCATGGCTCCCACCTGGAGGCAGTCCCTGTGGAACCAGGCTCTTTTGCACACTGGGCACACCATGGTCTTGAAGGTCTTTCTATCCTCCACTGGCTCCATGCAGATGGGGCATTCAGTGCCCAGCTCTGGAGTCACCTGCACGATCTGCACTGGACGGTGCTCAGGGCAGTAGGTCCTGGAGGCAAAGGGATGGGCATAATGAGAAAGATTTGGTCCTTCTCCGGGGGTGGCCAGAAGGGGAGAGGAGTTACCTGTATGGGGCAATATACTGTGTGATACAGCCGCCCTCCTTGGCACAGGGCAGGTGGAACCATCTGTTGCAGTCTTCCTTCCAGCACAAGATGGTGGCCCCGCTCTGGCCACAGACGCAGCAGTGCTGGAATGAGTCAAGCAACCCCATCAGCAGCAGCTTGGGGGCCTCCCCAGGAAGCCCCAGGGCTCCGGGCAGGGCGCAGGATGGGGCCACTGCTGGCTCTCAGCCCACAGAGCCAGCTGGTGAAAGAAGCCCCTGTGCCAGAGCCTCCTTGGAGCTGCTTGGAGCCAGACTTTGTCCCACAACTGGCTGCATGGCCAGCCTTTCTTTGTGGGGGTCTGGGCTAAGCTCTGGCCAGCCTCTCCTGGCACAAATCTCCCTGCTCTTTTGCCAGGCCCTCACCTTCTGTGCAGCCCGCCTGACTGCAAGCTGGATATCTTGATGCAGAAAACCCAGGAGTCCAACACGTTTATTTGCTTGCCGAAAAAGCAACGTGGCAAAATACTGAAGAAAATGGGAAGAGCTGATGAGGACAGGGTGGCAGGGACTGCCCATTGCAATGCTGGAGGGAGCGCTTGGAGCCACTCACCAAGCAGAACAAATGGGCGTAGAGCCCGTATTTCTCTAGTTTGTCGCCGCAGATGTCCGGGTCAGCCTCTGCACGGCGACACAGCACGCATGCTGCAGGGGACAGAGCCAATGGCAGCGGGCATGAACAGCTCTGTGGGGCTCTCAGCCCACAGCATTGGCCCCAAGGGCTGCTCTGTCCCTGCCTGCATGCCTGGCTGATGGGCAGGCCTGGAGGTCTTGGAGAGCAGCGGCCATTGCGGGCACGGGGGTCCCAACAGCTGCCCCCTGGCCCAGCTGGGCCCCACTTGGGGAGGAAGAAGGCTTCCAGCCCCGGCCTGGCTGAATAGCTCCTGCCTCCCCCGAGCCTCTGCTCTGGGTCCCACGCTGGCCACGCCAACAGGCCGTGGGCCAGGCTGTGGGAGGGCTGCTTTGCCCTCACCTGGCTCCCTGCCATCAGGGCCCTCCTGCTCCCTGTCGCACATGGCGGCTGTCAGCGCTGAGTCCCTGTGCAGGAACGCCGCTGTCTCCGCCAGGTGCTGGTCCTCTCTCTCTCTGTGGGAGAAAGAAGAGTGTCGGGAAGTATGCAGAACAGGCCCAGAGCCACGAGGGTCCTACCCCTGGTAAGCCCTGCGTGAGCCCTGCTCCTGTCCGCTGTCTGCTCCCGTCTTAGCGTTGAGGAACACTGCCGTCTCCTCTGGATCTTCCTTCGCTGATTCTGGGAAGGGAGAGGCAAGTGAGCCTGCAACACAGGCCCAGAGCCCCGAGGTGTGGGGCCCCTCTTGTCCCTGGGCAGCTGCTTCCCTGACTTACCTTCTCCTCCCGTTGTCAGGTCGCACTGACGCATGGCCTGAGCCCAGCCTTCCCTTTTGGGGCTTTGGTCGCACAGGTCACAATGGCCACTCTGACATCAGCATCTTGCTCCCAAGATTGAGGCAGCCATGGCCTCAGTTGCCCGGCAATCACTTGAGGCCACCCCCATGGGAATCAAGGTTCTGAGATGGTTCCAAGCCTTTGGTCAGCACAGAACCAGGCCAGGGACTCCTGCAGCAAGTGCAGGGTTGAATCCCAGGCCCCAGGGCAGCCATCGAGGGTGGCACTGTAAGCAGAAAAGTGCTGTTCAGGCACGGCCACACCAGGGCTCCTGTCCCTGGCAGTCGGTTGCCCAGAGACCTTGTGCAGAGTCTCTTGCACTGCACAGATTCCAAACCTGCTCTTGGTGAACCGACATTTTCCTCAAGACCTCTCTGCAGTAAACTGAGATGAACCTGATTTCATGCCCGTGCTGATCACTGTTGGGAAGAGGAGATAAAGCTGGGGACCACTGTAGCTGCCTCCCAACCTCAATTCTCCTGTCACCTAATGATCTAATGAATTTGACATTTCATATTAAGTGGAAAAATTAGTATTAAGCTCCTGAGAAAGCTCATCCTTTACACTGACTCAATGGAAACCCAGGAAATTCAATGAAAGATTACCTTATACATCTGACTGGAGAGCTTGCAACAGTACTCAGCTCAGGAGTCAAATGCTTTTCCCTCATTAAAGAACTTTGCCAGTTTGGTCCATGCTTTCCTACCAGCAAATATATTGAAAAAAGTCAAGACAGGACACACACAGCAGTTCTTGCAGAGTTTTTGCATTCACATCTTTGCAAACACGCTCCTGCAAAGTCCAGATCATTGACTTCTAGAACAGTCAGCAGGATCCCAGGGAAACAGGGCAGGGACTGACAAGAAGAGATACCCTGCACCTGCCTGATGCTGGGCACCAGGAGTTCATCCATGTTCCTGTCTCCAGGGACAGCCCCCTTGGGTGGAAAACAATGCCTTCACTGAACTAGGAGGAAGGCACAGCAGGTGCAATGCCAGGGAATGCCTTTATGCAGGAAGCAGGGTGGAGGCAGAGGAAGAGGGGTAAATTGGGTAGCGGCACCCGGGGCTCTGCAGGGAACCTGTGTCTTGGCAAGGCATTGAAGCAGAAGGAGCCAGAAGACCTCAGCCATGCAATCCCGAGCTGTGGACACTGTCCTCAGAACCAGGAACCCGTTTGCTTCTCCAGGCCCTGGGAACTGCTCCAGTGCTGCTCCTGTAAGTTATGCGTTGACACAGAGCCACCGACTCTTTCTTAATCCTTTTCAGCACTGGACAGCAGGATGCAGTAAAATATTGTCTCTGCTGCACAATCTAATTATTAAAAGTCTAATTATTAAAAGTCCTGCAAAGAAGCAACTTACATTCAAAGCATACACACCAAAAACCCCAAAGTCTCTTACAAATCTTGAATTGACACAAGAAACATGTTTCTATTCAGAAAAACAGGCTCACTTTTGGGCAATATTTTTTCCTATTAGATCTTTGAATGAATTTCAAAAGTAACGTTTTTTGGCAAGTTCTTCAAGGAACAAGCAGGAAATACCTGTGAACTCTAAAAGAAGATTAATTGGCTTGCTTTCACATTCCTTTTGGAATCCCTATGCTTCATCCATCATGCCAGAAAATTGTGAAAATCCAACTTAGTATTAGGCGAAGTTTCTGAATTTGCAGTTTGCCTCAAAGACTTTCTTCACATAGTTAAGGAACTGGTTCTGTAACTTACAGAGATGTAGTGGTTCCCCTGACTGGACATCACAACATGACCTTATACATTCCAATATGCAAAACAACTATTCTTGCCTAGCAATTATAAAGCTTCAAGCTCTTCTAGAGGCTTTCTCCTGAGTAACTTCATTAGGTCCCTCTCTGCTCAGCTGTCGAGCCTGTCCAGGTCACTCTGGAGGGCAGCACAGCCTTGTGGTGCATCAGCCCCTGCTCCAGGTTCTGTGCTATCAGCAAATGTGCTGAGGGAACCCTCCATCCCTTCTGCCAAGTCACTGGGGAATAAGGCAAACAAGGCTGGCCCCAGCACGGCCCCCTGAGGTCACAGCCCTCTGAGTTTGGAGCTCCACTGTCCACTTCTCGACCCCACTCTCCCTGAGCTGCCTCAGGAGCATGTTATGGGAGGCACGGACAAAGCCTCGCTGAAGTTGCAGCTGACAACTCAGCCACTGCTCTCCCTGCACAAACCCAGACAGTTCTTGTTGAAGAATGATCTTTCCTGATGAAAATTTTACATCTAAGATTCCATGGATTTGTTCTTTTTATAATGCAGAATAAGAAAAAAAAATATGCAAATTGAAGCCAATGAGAGTTTTTGTCTCGAAATGACTAATTGCAGAGAGTGTCTAACAGTAGTAATACCAAATCTAAAATTTTTCTTGGTATTTTATGAGGTTCATGAAACAAATGATGTTTCAGGCAAAACAGGAGGTTGTGTGTACATACTCCATACTCAATATCTTCAGAATAGACTTTACTGACAGAAAAGTAACTAGCATATGATTTTTATGCTCTGAATGTTACTACTCCCTATGAAATATTTTATAAGTGCATCCTAACTAAATATTAGTGAATAAACAGCTTGTCAGAACTTCACTTTGGAATGCTTTTTTTCTCCATCAAAATGAATTTAAAATTTACATCACAAATGAATTTAGTCCATCCACGGGAAAAAAAAAAATATAATTACATTGAAATAAATTAAAAAGCAAGAATTACCCTGTTCAGTTTAATTTAATGTCTACATAATATGAAATTTTAAACCAGCAGTCAAAAAAATACATTTTCATAAGGAGTTTTTATCAACAATGTTCAGTCTCAAGTAAACAAATCTTTGCCATCTTGCTGTAAAATTACACACCAAAAGATCAGACACGTTATGAATGCAGCGACAAAACTCACTTCATTATAATTTATTGCCTATCAGATACTATAACCTACTTTGGAAGAAATTTTGGAAGGGCAATCAATTATGGAAGACACCATCTGACAGTCTGAATACTATATACCACATTAGTCAAAATATTATAATTTTAGGACATGAAGTCGATTCCTTTTTCAGAAATCACAAGTTTAGATCAAAAGTTTTCAAATCACTGTAGGAACCTGTGATATGCTAAAATGTCTGTGTGTATATATGTCACAGAAAAAAACCCCAAACAACCTTTTATTTACATAGTAGGAAAACTATATAATGTAAAAATCAAATGTAAAAAAGGTGTAAATTTAGATACAGCAAGTTTTAACTGTTGTTGTCTTCATGATCTAACAATGTCAGGATGAATTTGTGATGACCAGTGGATATAGGGGAGAAAAAATTTATGGAAAATAACTTGAATTTTTTCACATATTATATGTAGAGCAAAAAACTTGCACTCCTGGAATCTTTTCTAGTCTTCCAAACTATTAAGGTCAATACTGAAATATTTATTTCTCAGGAGAGAAATTAAAAAAGGAAAAATTTTCACTTGTTGTGTGCTCAGGAAGTAATGAAACTCCAATCTTTGGTTTTGTTTGCTAAATAATAATGGATGTTTCTCTGAAAACACTTTTCTGCCATAACAGAGAACAAGTTGATAGGTACACTTTGAGAACAGGAGTGTTCTGGCTGAGCTCAGAGAGCATACAGGGGGCACAATCAAACAGCAGCCATAATCAGTATTATGAATGTGATAGTTCTTGACAAGGATATTTTTTTTGTAATTTTTTTCTTTCATGGATATTTTATGATTCAGGATTAATGTGAACCTAGAAAACTACAAAAACTGTCTGAAAACAAAGGGAAAATTTCAAACCCAAATCAATATCCTTCTCCTTTTGTCATCACAATTACTTATATTGATTTACTGCATAAAGCAGATTTTTATTTTGAACCAAAGGTATTTCCAAGGTGATAGTGATAGTGGTGATGCTGAAGAACTTATCCCTGAGGAAGAGAGGGAGTAGTATTAATAGAGATGGCCTGTAGGTCTATATTTGTATATTGTTTGGAATAGATACATATACATGGATATGTATATTATTTATATAAATACTTATAAAATGCATGAACATAAACTCATGCATGTTTTCCTTGATTCCTAGATTCTAGAATGTTTTAGTGATAGAAGCATTTCTGCTGTCATGAATAAAAGAGTATAGTTTCTAGTGCTTAGGCTAGAAGAAGTAAACATTTGAAAATGGAAACCCTGAAGGCTCTAAACCATTACACAAACAGAGAGAATTGAAAATGTGTTTTTAAAATGCATGTTGTTGACAATTCCAATTCCTGTAGTCATATGACCCACATGTCCAGCAGGGATTTTTCACAGAAACCCATTAAAAAGATTCCCCTCTTGGGAACAAAAATAACATCTAAGGCCTTAGGACAGCAGTAACTCTAATTTGCAATAGAATCTTAGGGCATATTCTTCTTCTGTCTTCCCTTATAAAATATATTGCTAGCACTCCAGAAGTAATAAACCTACCTAAACCAGCCAGTTAGAGTAACAGATGTGTTATTTAGACTGAATTAAATTTATGCTGAAAAGTGTGGCCATGCAGATTTTTATAATGAAAAGTTAAATTTTTTAACTTCTTGAGCAACAACAGTTATGGTAATATATGCTGTGATCTCTCATGGGGTTATATGCTATTTAAACTGCACACTCTATGAACCTCTACAGTATAGAAACATGCTTAACCTCTGAGGAAATTTCCCCTTTATGTAAATAAATAAAGACATAAATAAATGTATATGTGTACACACAGAATTAAAGTGTGTGTGTGTAATTGCACTTTTTTTATTTAACACTGATTTCCATAAGAGATGTATTTGATCAAATACTGTTCCAAAAATTCTTACTGTATGGATTATTTTTCAGAAAATTGTTTCTTCCACTCTCTCGTGCTATCAAATATAACTTGAACAACCACTAACTGAGCAACTAACTCATTGAAAAGAAAAGAAAAAGGATTTGGGGTTGCATGA